ATTTTATTGTGTATTAAATTTATGTTGTCTTTTTAAATGAATAAACTTTACAAAAAATAAATTTAAAAAATATTTATTCCTAAACTTGCAGGAAGAACTACTGAAGTGTGACATTTAATCATATATTTACATCTGGTATCTTATACAGTTTGAATTCTTGTTGGCCAACGGTTTACAAACCCTTTGGACTGTTGGAACACCACCATCTTTTAGTCAGACAGTCGCTCCTGTCCTGTTGAAGTCCTCACACCTGAAGTGTATGCTGCAGAGCAGTGTCCTGTCAGAGGCAACAAAATCCTCCCTTCTTAGTGTGTGACGGCAACTGCCTCCTCCGCTCTGGTTTTGGGAAACCTTAAAAACATGAAGTAGTTAAGTCATTATTTTCCAACCTTCTTTTCTTTAGCAAAAATATATACCTTAATTATCATACTTTTGGTGTGCATATGTTTACTTCAGACACACTAAAAGAGTTAGAAAAACACTGAATGACAAATTATAGGAATGTTTCTAAAAAGCCTTGGAATCAGTAATAGTATCTCACATAACCTGACTGTTCCCATTTGTCATGACCTGTATTGTGCACAGGTCCAAAATATAACTACTGGTTATCCTAATTACAGTCATATTACTGCCACAGAGCTTACAGGTGAAAGGTGATCCCAGAGGTTCTTCATTTGATGCTACAGCTGTTAGAACATTTGTAGGCTGCACAAAATCAGTCATGTTGGAACTGTATGTCTGTAAATATAAAGCAGCAATTTGTTTTCAACAAACCAACCTGTTAGAAAATCACCTGCAGCTTCAGTAAAGTTAAAAACAATGAGCTCCTAATGAACTTTGCTGGGTAAACTTTAGAATAGCTAGATCTTAATCACAGGCTTTTCAATAAACACAATCATAATGAAGATTTTCATTTAGACAAAACTTTAGTTTGTCATAAAACAATTAAATTTTCTGATCTTCCAAGGTGCCAGTTATGGAACTCTCTGTGCATTGTTGCCCAAATCAAATTCTGGAAGTGGTCATTCAACTAGATCTGTTACA